ACATCAGTTTTTCTGTGGTGTGCATATTGTGGTCACAAACACCCTTTGTTCCCAGACTGAGAGCACTATCACTTCTCGTAAGAACACACACCAACAGTAAAGCTGTGTGTGTCTGGAGTGTGTGTCGGGCCAGACACTGTTGACACTTTTATTTTTGGGGCGTGCTTGGCTGTTCTCACAACAGACGATTTTTCTGATGCAGGTTCCTGCAAACTAACAGTTTACTACAGTTTTCCGGCAGTAGCTCAGTCTGTAGGGACTTGGCTTGGGAACCAGAGGGAGAGGTGCCAGTTCCACCGCCTGTGCACTGCCGAGGTGCCCTTGAGCAAGACACCTAACCCCAAAGCTGCTTATGGAGCGCCCCCTACGTGGCAGCCTATCGCTCTCCGGGCACCTATGACTGCCCACTGCTCCTAATGTATATAGGATGGGTCAAATGCATAGGGCAAATTTCATTTCCAGGTATGTAAATGCTCTTAATACTGTGAAATGACAATAAAGACTGAATATTAAGATTTTTGTCTTGGAAATAAAGGAATCTAACTTTGTGAAAAAAATTGTGAGAAAATAATATTGTGAACTGTATCGAATCGTGAGTTGGGTGTATCGTTACATTCCTGCAGTTTCATATTGAGGCCGCAGTTGGAATTGCAGGATCTTCTTTGCAGTTGACACAACAGAATGCTCCAAACTAACAGATATGATGAAAGATACAACAGGGGTGGGTCATACATTTATGTCTTTGTAAAAGAAATAATCTGCTCAGACATGAGTACTACTGTGTGCATTGTATACTTGTAAAAACTTTTTCACAGTAAGCTGAAAGCAACCAGTGTCCCTCCTTCTGCCTCCTCAAGTATTGTACTGTACACAACTGAGATAAGTCTGTCTCAATTTGTTTTTTCTCAAAATATTTGTTTGCAGCAATTCCATTCCTACTGTTCATACTAGTTAGGAAGATTTCAGTGTCAGTGTTACCAATGTTTATCTAAAGATTCTTCGGTAGTCTGAGTTAATCACATCAGGTGGGTATGTAGTTAGTCTTAGCCATGGTCAGTCGTTTTAGCATGAAATTCTTTCTTTGTGTTTTTTAGGACAGCACTTATTTGCTAAACTGCAGTGGAGGAAAATGTAATACTATAAAAACTCACTGGTGCCAGTATAGGGGGGCAACATGACTTTTGTTCCCCGCCTTTCAGGTGTTATGGTAACTTTATCAACTTATGGCCAACATTACTGTCCTTCAGAGGCTGTAGAGGGCTCAGTTTACTAGCATCATATGAAACTTGAAGACCTAAGGAATTCAATGATACCAACCATGTCATGCTAGCCTGCTAAGTTCTTTGGGTACCCATGAGTCTCCCCTCTATACACATCTGCTGACTTTATGTTAATCCCATGCATTTTTTTGTATGCAGTATAAATATTTGTTTGAATATTTCTGCATACTAGGGTCCATAAGCAGTGTTGGTATTGCATTAATTGGTTATGACTGGAAAGCTGAAACTCTTGTAGAGTCAATGAGCCCAATTATATTAATGTGCGATGTTTGTCCCTAAAGTAGCATTTCATTGTTATGAGATCATTTTTTTAAACTTGACCTCGCTGTATAAAATTAGTTATTGTGACCTCTGGGATAATCACAGCCTCATGAAACTGTACAACCACCACTTAGAGGCCGAGGGCATCCAGAGGAAGGATGGCTTTCCTAGATATACTGACACCACTGATTTCTTACCATATTTCAGTTGTAAAAACTGTAGGCTTGACACTGAAAGGAAGTTGACATGAAAAAGTTAACTAGTGTATAACATACTCCAAAGCTGGATACCCCACACTGTAAAGATTCTCACAGACACTCACTTGATTTGGCTAACTCATATCATCTTCAGGACTATGAATATTGTCTCCCATCTCTTCCATTGAAAGCATTTAGGAAAAGATACCCTAATGGCCAATATGAACAGGAGGAATGCTTACAGCAAGTACAACGCGTTTGAATGTTTACACAGCCACTTGACTATAATTGTTTAAAGACAGACATCTATCCTTTAAGCCCACACTTAACACAGCCCAGCCTGGTCCTGACAGCCAAACATTTACAGCAGAACCAAACTTGAAGCTGCTGTTTTAATATCCCAAATCTCCTCCAACCCTTTCTATTTCTCTCTCTCTCTCTCTCTCCATCTCTCTCTCACACACACACACAAATCCTGGAGTAGACCAACCAGAGCCTGAAAACACATTTAGTGCAGTAAAAGTCTTGCGTTCTTCTATACTGACTGCTCTATTATTGAGAAATTTAACAATCAAACAGTGACTGTGGAGAGAACAAAAGGAAATAACACTATTTTCCTTATTAATACAGTACTTCTCCACTAATAAAAATACTTTATATTAGGGATATATTATTATATACATATTCGGTGCATCCCTACTTTATATTAATATTGAATAAAAAGACTATTCATGAAAAGGGTCACTCACAGTGATAAACCCATAGCCTTACAGAACTTTTCAGCCTTTTTTTGTTCATAGTTTTGGTTTTCTTGGTTTTTCCAGACTAGATTAATTAATTTTAATCCGCCTATAGTGAAACCAACAAGCGCAAAGAGACACTAGGGCACCTTGATCAATCAGTAGAGATATTGATAATGAGTTTACAACATATAAACAATCTAACAGTTATATGCAGATTGGACAAGAGCAGAGCACTATTTGACTCTGAGGTCCCTCTGTCTGTAGTCACCACTCTGCAGTCTCACTCAATGTCTTGCTGATTGGTTACACATCACAAATACTAGCCTCACAAATACTCAACACTAATGGCTGCTGTGCCAATGTTCTTTCACACTGTTCTGTTATTTTTAGTTAACTATAATAACCTAACCTTTTTAAAGTACCATTTTTCAATGATGTGAGCATAACAAAGTCCCATTCCCTTGTGCTGGCAGATATCTCCAAACCAGGGCAAAAAATAGATAAAGCTACACTAGAGAGAATATGTGTCACTTGAATGGCCTGACCTTTTAACATTTACCATTGCCTCCATTTTCCATGCCATGTGTCAAATCAGCATGTAGAATATTTACTCAATTTATTTCCTATTGAAGCCCATGAGTCACTCCATCGGCAGACGTATGTGACAAAGACCACAAACATATGAATGTTTAAATGTGTGATTACAGAACTTGTGTTGAACTATATATTACTTCCGTCTGGTTCCTGAATCATCAGTGCAGCTGGATAGACGGCAGCCTCTACATGTAAAAGCTATCACATCATTTCACAGTGAAGTCATTCTGAAACTGTAGCCAGAAGAGCATGAGGAAAACACTGAGCGGAGTCACAGGGAGCAGATATTTCTGCAGCAGCAAGGTATACCAATCTAGTAGCAAATCCCCTCATGTGAATGATGGCAGGGACAGTCTGACAGACACGGGGGCTGAAGTGGGCCCCCCGGTCACCAAAGACGAATAATACATTTGTTCTATTTAAATATCTGTCACATTGGCAGTGGCAGATCTCTGGCTGCTGTGATTGCTGCCACCCCTAAAAAATGCCTGGCCACCCCAGCTACCATTTGGGTGTCAAATGCTGTCAAAACTAACACATTCATTTAAAAATAACATGGAAAAAACCTAAATGAATGTACTGATCTGTTATGGCCACATTTTAGACTCAGTAATAGGCATATGTTCGATGACAAAAGGCATGTATTTGGAAAAATATATGAAGATTTGGAAAAAATACTATTTATTGATTTCTGCAGCCCTCATTTGGGGGCTTTTTCAAACAAATAATGATATGTGACTGTTTGTGACACCCCATGAATATTTATCTGGATCCAATCCTGCAAACTGGTGCATGATTATTAAATTTAGAAAAAAAAAAAAACAATGCCTGCACAACACACAACACAATTTACTTGATGTGGGTTTGTTGATGGTGTTGTGTGATTTAGGTCTACCTTATTTTTAAGGCTGCGTAATTAATCAAAATATTATCAAAATCGCAATATGGGCAATTTTCAAAAGGCAGAAGCTTTAGTTTTCTTGACTTAAGGTAAAATGTGTGACAGCCAGCATTATAATAAAGTACTGCAAAGATGTCCTGGCCTACAAATCTTGTTCTCCAGAACATTTTTCTATGTTTTTATCATATTGTATAGCCCTTAGTTTACCTTCTGTTATTTATCGAGTTACAACATAAGTTTAATACTCAAGTAAAATATTCAAGTGAATGTATAAATATATATAGCAATATAATATAATATATAATATATAGCAAGGCTACATGATATGGTAAAAACATATTGCAATCATTTTGATAGATATTGCGATATAATTAATGTGGGAATGATCATTTTTGCATCGGCAAATTAAATTGTTTGCTAAAAAAAACTATTAAAATCATGATGATGACTAATGTAATCCATTATAAAGCTGTTTGTCACACATTGTACCTTTATCAAGACATTGTAGTTTCTGTGATTTGCATATTGCACTTGGCCATATTGCGATTTTGGTTTATTGCGTAGCCCTGATACAGATCCGTTCCTCCTGGAAATGTTACTGTTTACAGAGGTAGTCTTATTTAGTGGTTGGCATTTTAAATGAAGCAAGAGGGAAGGTAGTCCCAGGCTGACGCGACAACTACAAATGAATATGTATTTTTTCTAGCTGGAATATGTTTTTGAAGAATAAGTCGGCGGGTCAAATTTGAATCCAGACAAATGAAAATGTCTGCTTAGGAAAAGTGTTGCCCGACAGAGAGCAGCGGGTCTTAAGCTGGATGGAACCATGCAGACTGTTTTGGTTGGATGTTGATTGTGTCTTGAGTCGTGACTATTACTATTGATACTGTTAAAATACACTTTAACACATGAAAACAGTGGCAGCACCAGCACAGTCACAGTTATCCCATATTCCAGTATGCTCACACTGTATTAGAAAGTCTCAGGCATGAGGCTACATTCAGATATCATGCAGAGTGGTTACCTCTGGGCTACATGGCCATGTAGTTCGAAGGCTCCCAATTCCAGATCAAACCCTCAGAATACTCCATGTTTTTAAAAACTGAACAAGATAGTGAGGTCTGTTAGTCCTCCAGAACCACACATTCACAATCTGTTAAAACCGCGCAAGAATAAAGTAGCGCAAAGCTGCATTCACGCTCAGCTGGAAAAAAAAAGTGGCTCCAGACTTCCAAACTCCTTTCAACAGATATCCACTGCAGGGAAATCCATCCGAAAGCGAAGATGTTGTTGATCTGCAGTCATTAATATGCTGCGCTTGTGTTTCTCTACAGGTAGCCTGTAGATGATATGCTATGAGGACTTGGTGAGCTTTCATTCGGCTGCAGGCGCAGGGCGGAGTCTCAGTGTCCACAGTTTGTTGAGATGGCTGTTTCGCCTTGAACTCCGCCTCCCAGTCATCACTTCCTTCCAGACTGTGTGCTGCTGTACAAACCGGGCGATGTGGCGTAGTGGACCAAAATGAATTCCCACTTTGGTCCACTACAGATCACACCGCCAGGGGCGGATCGAGAGAAATATTTATGGGGGGGCCAGAGGGTCGCCTGGACACTTTAAAGCTGCAGTAGGTAACTTTTATTATATTGGCTGAAACATTTACTATATCCTGACAGTAGTTCATGAGACAGAACATCTGGTTCCTTTGGCTCTTTCTGGTGTTCCTAATGGTATTTGCAAGAAACATGAACAAACACAACCAATCAGAGCAGAAAAAGATGTATGGATTGATAGCTTGAAAATGGTTGATTGTTGAGCCTCATTACCATTGACGGCATTTGACACCTGGAAATGAGACTCAACAATCAACTATCTTTCTTGGTTCTCATTGGTTATTTTTCTTCAGGTATGGTAGATTCTTGCAAATACCATTAGGAACACTAGGAGCAGCCAGAGGAACCTGATTTTTTCACAGATTATCTGATCTGATCTCATCTGATCTGCCTCATATATGAACCAGAATATAGTGAAAGGTTTCAGCAAATATGAAAAAAAAATATTTGTATAGGCTAAGAGTTACCTACTGCAGCTTTAAGGGGCAGCATAAATATATGCTGAGTAATGAAGATATTTGAACTCAGAAACATTGCATTATTGCGGCACAATAGAAATATGTAAAGATGCCATTAGAAATCAATAAATTGTTTTATTTCCAAATCTTCTGACATTTTTACAAAGATGTCTTTGTCTGTTAATTTCCTTTTTTAACATGTTATTTTTCAAATTAAATCAATGTTTTAAAGTTAACAGCATTTCATACCAAGGTGGAGGTGCCATGGGGTGGCCCCCCAAAAAATGTTTGGCCACTCCATGGCACCTCCAGATCCATCCCTGACACCACATGAAGGCTGCTGGCATAAACAACCATAACAGTGGCGATACTTTCCTGAAAAATAATTGCATCATAATTTGAGCTATTTTAGTATAATTTATCATTATCATTATTATTATTATTATTATTATTATTATTATTACTACTACTACTACAGTATAAAAATGTGGGCATTCAAGTTACATGAATACTAGTGTTGGGTCAGATTATTTTGAAGTCTGTTACTGAATACAAATTACATGGTAATTTTGTAAGCAGTTTTTTTAAAGATTACATTTACAAAATAATTTAATCTAATTTGAATACTTTTGGATTACTTCAAAATCAAACATTGAAAATATTGCTCCTTGAAATGGATGCAGCAAATTGAAGTTCCACAAATATTATTTTTTCATGTTTGAAAAATCACTTTTTTCATCTCAAACACATAGAACAATGGAACAACATGAGGTTCAGCCCAGTCCCCTATCACGATCAAGAGAATCCAGGTTTATAGAGCATTGCTTATCATCAAAAAAAAGTTTAATCACCATATTTTAAAGACGTCATCAAAAATCAAGTAAGAGGTGAAATTAAATAGTAGGGGTTACCAATGACACTATTAAGGTTCTGTTCCATTTAGTGTAGGAGAGCCTTTCCAGTCAAATGTTCAATAGCAGCACCCTGACACTGTTTGACCTGAAAGGAACAGAACCTTAATTAGTCATCATTTGTAACACCTGTATTACCCTACTATTTCATGTCAAAATGTCTGCTGTAAAACAGGTTTATTGTGGCTTATAGGAGTGCTAATATGTGTGATGAGTTAGATGGGTACAATGCCAGTAGTACCAACCCAGCAGTGTTAGGGAGTAGTCATATATATATATATATATATATATATCTTCCAGTTGTGGTTCGGGAGGCAGACACCCTCTCCACATTCAAGAGTAGGCTTAAGACATTCCTCTTTGATAAAGCTTATAGTTAGGGCTGGATCAGGTGAGTCCTGAACCATCCCTTAGTTATGCTGCTATAGGCCTAGACTATCGGGGGGTTTCCCATGATGCACTGAGCTCCTCTCATCCTCTCCCTCTCTTCTTTCTCTCTCGTCTCGCAGGTTCTCATGGATCCTGGTGGAGCCTCCTGCCATGGTCCTGCTTGACTGCCATTGCTAATATCACTGATATTATTGTTATTATTATTATTATAATTATAATTACTACAGTTACTATTATTACTATAATCACTGCTCATTGTCCCCCATCGTTGTTGTCGTCATCATCTTCTTCATGTTCATCATTATCAGTCACTACTATTAGTGTAGTTGTTGGTACTGTTGTTGCTGTGCACCTTTGTCCCTGTCTCTGTCCTTCTGTTGTTATCTTCTCTCTCTCTCTCTCTCTCTCTCTCTCTCTCTCTCTCACCCAACTGGTCGAGGCAGACGACTACCAGTTTTTCCTTGCCCCCGTCGCTAAGTGCTTGCTCATGGTGGTACTGTTGGGTCTCTGTAAATACTTCTATAAGGAGTGAAGTATAGACCTGCTCTATTTGAAAAGTGTCCTGAGATAACTTCTGTTATGAATTTGCGCTATACAAATAAAATTGAATTGAATGGAACTGAATTGAATATACATCTAATTAAAGTAGTTGCTTAACTCAATATTGTAGTTCAACTACATTCATATTTGTATTGTGATTCAAGTAGTTAAAACAGCAACAAGGAACTTTCATTTTGTGTTGATTCTGGCGCCCCATGTGGACAAACGCGTGCCAGGCATTAAGCAGAACTGTGAAGAAACATTCACCCATTCACACATATTCATACTGTGAAGGCAGAGGCTCATCACAAACAGAAACTAACATTCATTCGCACTGATGCACAGCATCAGGAGCAATTTGAGGTTTAACAGCTTGCGTAGGGACACTTCGACATGCAACATTAAATAACAAAAACAAACTGATTTGTGATCACATTAGTGAATGACATGCTCTACCTCCTAAGCCAAAGCAGCTCCAGATAATGAGATGAAACACTTATAAGAAGACTATGAAAAGACAGACACATAATGAGACTACTTATAATTCCATTTTATTTCCTCCTTGGTTTGAGACGTTGGGAGATATTGTCACTGAGTAATGAGGATGGTATTATTATTACTATGCCAGCATTGGAGCATGCAGGCAGACCTGCTCAAAGTCGCTCTGTTCCTTTAGGAGGAGCTAAAACACTACAAGCTGACTTTGTGGTGACCTTGTATGTATGTTAAAAAACATTTGCAGTGACCATATAGCTAAAATTCATAATCAGATGAAAGAATCTGATGAGTAACAAAATATAGTGTAACACGTGATCTTACAATTTTTTACCCTTTCTCATAATTATGAGACCTTTTCTTGTAAGTGATCTGAATCTCATAATCATAGAGTAAGTCATAATTAAGACACACAGAAGTCATAATTACAATGAGGTCTCCATTTTGTTTTCCTTTGGTAAATGCAATGTGCTTCCATGATTTCAGTTCAAATTAGAACACAGTCAGAAAGATGGTGAGAAGCATTTGGCATTGGAAGCACAGTAACAGTAATGATATTGCAGGGGCTTGGAAGTCCACAGGTGACGGTTTCTAACCTGAACACATGTTGATGGTGGCAACAGTTAAAAACCGGGTTTAGCTGGGTATCCTAGACTTTTCAACAGGTTGGACTGTACCACTTGGTGAGTCACAGTGTGGTTTGTGGCACAGTAGATGTAACCAACACAGTGTATTGCAAAAAGTAATGATAGTGATTTAAAAAAAAAAAAAAAGATTACAAATGTTCAGAATGACTATGGTGTGCACAGGAGAAATACCAGTAAGCATACACATTCTCCACAGAGTAAATGGTGCAAGGGCCTCAACTTTGGTCTTTTTAGCGTACTGCCTTATGCCTGTAACTTCTGTTTTTTCTTTATCTTTTTTCAGCACTATATCTAATACTACACATTTAACTATTGAAAATGTCAGTCTTTGGCTATTTTATTTATTATCTATGGAAATGGAAGATTTGCATTTTTCGTAAAAGGACTGAAAGTAACAGGAATTAGTTTTTAGCATTTTGTAGCAAATACATGAAATGTAGGCACATGGCATCAAGGCTTTGTTTGACGAGTGGGACCGGGCTAAAATCCTATTTTTTACAGTGTTCTAGGTAGTTTTTAATGAAGGTTTTACGTAATGTTTATCCAAATTGCAATTAGAACAAGTGCAATATATTTAGCAAAAACAGACATTATAGTGTGTGATGTGTGATATTGGATAGTGCTTAGGCTGTGTTGTAGTTACAATTTAGAGTTTATTTTTGAAGTAATTGGCTATTTGAATGGTAGGCACAGTTAGACGAGCTATTACACAGGCACTTAATATCCAGATACAATCGTGACTGCATTGATGTTGATGCAGAATAAAATGGTAAAATATTGTGAGTAGTTATGAAATTTGCTGATGTGACAACTTAACTTTAAGTTCGATACCGTCTGTGGGTATTCAGGTTATCTCAGCCTCTACCTGCTGGATAAGTTCGGTACAACATTCACCACACGGCGCCATATTAGATAGACATTATACTGCTGCGGACCAAGTCAAGGAAGGGGAACTCAGGCCGCAGTAGTTTATTGATAAAACACTGGAGGTAACTGCTATATGGTTGGCAATAAGTAATTGAGTCAAACATCTCGGCCATTGTGGTCCGAGGCGTGTTGTTTTCGTCGTTGTTTAGCTAACTTGCCGGCCAGACATGACTTCCTTGACTCTGCGGAGTTCGGGCCTCGTGCAGAGGCGGACTGAAGCCTCGCGCAACGCCGCTGACAAAGACCGTCCGTCCGGCCAGGAGGACCACGAGCCCCGGCGGGGAGACGAGCCGGACGATGACGATACTGGGGACTCCAAAGAAACGCGTCTCACCCTGATGGAAGAAGTGCTGTTGTTAGGACTGAAGGACCGAGAGGTAATGGCAGACCAATTCTGCTCTCTTACGCTGTGAAATTAAAAGTGTCTTTAACGTCAGACGATGTTGGATATTATCCAAGCTAACGTTAGCTTCATCTTCCTAACCGACATAGCTTTAGTTGACGTTAGCATCCTTGTTTGCTATAACGCTAACTATTAGCTGTAGCTGACAACAATCATGGGCCTCAGCGCTGCACGCCGAGCTGATAATGTCTGTTAGCGGAACACGATTATGTCGAGATATTTTCTATTCAGTCAACAGTGGTGGTCAGTAAATTGGATATTGTCTTGTGGAGTTTTTCTTTGGACGTTTGTGCTTATCTGGACACTACCGCTAGTAAGTTAACAGGATACAAACATAACAATTTCTATCAGATAGCAATGGGTTAATGATCTGTAGGTAGAGCTAAATGGACGTTTTCAGGAATAATGGAAGTGGAACTATTAATTTACTGCTACTGTCTGTAATGTGACCTTATCACTGATTAAACAGTACACTACTGAGAGAGAGGTACAGTGCCACCCCTTGTACTGTTTTTAATATATATATTTTGTAACATTCCCGTATTAAAATATCTTAAAACACTAGACCTATGTTGAATATTTTGTTAAATTGTGTACTGGGGCTGCATGATATGGTAAATGGACCTGTACTTGTATAGCGCCTTTCTAGTCTTCCGACCACTCAAAGTGCTTTTACACTATGTGCCACATTCACCCTTTCACACAGTGATGGCAAAGTCCATCGAACAGAAACTATCATTCACACACATTCACACGGCATCGGGAGCATTTTGGGGTATCTTGCTCAAGGATACTTCAACATGTGGCACCAGGAGCCGGGAATCGAACCCACAACCTTCCGATTAAGGAACGACCTGCTCTGCCTCTGAGCCACAAAAATGATATTGATGATGATATTGCGATATAATTAACAATTATGTGGGAATATCTTTTGCATCACAAATGTAACTTAAAAATATATATAAAGTCATGATGATTTGACATTTGTTGGGGTCTGTACCAAAACAAACATGCTTTCTGACATCTGGAGAACAAGATTTGTAGGCCAGGGCATCTCTGCAGCACTACAGTACTCAATTATAACGCTGTTTGTCACACATTTTGCCATTATCAAACAAACTGCAGCTTCCGGATTTGCATATTGCACATGGCCATATTGCAGTTTTGATAACATTTTGATTAATTGTGTAGCCCTATTATATACTTAATTATCCCAAATGTTTCCAACAATGTTCAAACTCAGAGAAATCTGTCATTTTATTCAGATAACGGTGTGTTTCATTGGCGGCCTGTCAATGGCGTCGTAACCCCTTTGTACATGCGTCAGCGTTGTGGTTGTCTGCCAGAAGCTGTCATACGTTGACTTTTTATCCAGTTTAAGCCACAATTTTATACACTGTTTAGATCTTGGTGCTTTTTAACTCTAGATTTGAACTTGTCTAGTGTTATCAGAGAAACAACCTGAGATAACGTTAGCTCCAGCTCGGCTCACAGCCCCTCCGCGAGCAACACACACATTTTTTAAGGTGGAACTGCTTTCTTGAGTGTTAAACAAACATTAAAGCAAACCTGTGACAATGTGGGAAATGGAATCGGGGGTGGAGCTGTCACAACTGAAATTTTTGTGCAAATAACTGTTTAACAATTTTATTATCCTTTTCTGTTCATTTTATGCCTCACAGCGGTACTGTTGTTTGGCCTAAAACATCTGTTCTTAATTTCAGTGTCCATTGAATTTGTGGAGTGTCAGTTAATATTAAAATAGTTTCTGAAACAGTGTTTCACCAGTTGCTCTGCTGCACATTTATTTTATTTTATTTTTCAGGTTTTTCGAAAACTAGTGTAGACCGAGCAAATGCAACAAAAATTGGTTCAAGACAGGTAATAAATGTAGAAGGAGGCAAAGTATCTTTATGCACACTTTTTTGGACAGTCCACCTACCATTTATGCTAGTTTTGTATTTTGTCATGAGTTTTGGTTTTTATTTTTTAAAACCACATTGTTTTTAACTTTTGTTTTTAATTCAGTTTTGTGCCAGTTAGTTTGCAAAGTGGTTTTGTGGGTTTAGTTTGTATTAGTTTCAATGTTTTTCTTTATTAGAATATTTATTATTTATTTGTCATTTGTGGGGTATTTGTCATTGGCAAGATTTAAGAAGTTTAGAATGGGTATTAAAATACACTGACTCAGTCATATAGACATCCTGGTCTCAAAAAACACACTAAACATTAGTTTAGTTTATTTTGTAAGTAACACAATATAAAATAAATTAAAGCTGCAAGCAGCGTTGGGCGGGACCTCGCACTCCACGCAACTCGGGGCGTGCTGCAGCCGCGTCGCGTGCCGTCATAACACGTGCGGACCACAACATGAAAATCTGCAGTTAATCAGCTCAAAATCGCCACACAGCGCTTACTTCCTGTTGCCAGTAGGTGGCGCTATCACTATGTCTGAATATTGTCATGTACACGTGTTCAGTGCAGGACTGTTACCAAGCATTTGAAGTGTGGAGCCGATTGGACAATGTACACTCAAGTTATAGAGAATTTGTGTTTTGTAGCGGTCCATCAAAATTTCCCGCCCCCTCACCACAGTCAACACATATCATCAACAATGTGTTTTGCATTTTGCAAGTAAATTTCAGCTGGATCTGATCATCCTGCAAGGAGTACAACATGAAAGTATAAAATGTGATACTTCCTGTTACCAGTATGTGGCGCTATCACTATGTCTGAATATTGTCATGTAGACGTGTTCAGGGTGGGACTGTACACTGAAGATATGATCTGATCTGAAGATCTGTTTGATGGCCAGTCGGTGGAATTCGACACGTCGTCACGGGCACACGGTTAAACATACAGTCACAAATAGCACAACTTTTGATAACCAATGTGTGTAGATTGAAGTAAACGAATTTGAAATCAATTTGATAAAATCTCTAGGAGGAGTTAGTTAAAACAGAAGCCCTTGAATGCAGGAAATAGCATCACAGTTTGACATTCGATTCAACATGGCCAACTTTGAGGGCACGCCACGGACACGCCCTTCAACGTACATGCACAAATAGCACAACTTTTAATCAGATCCGTTTTTTGACTGTACTCACAAATTTTGAAGCTTATCTGATAAATTCCCTAGGAGTCGTTCAAATACAACGCGAAAAGTTTACCGAAAGTGAAACTTTAAATCAAAATGTCCGACTTCCTGTGTAGTTTCGGGTATGGGTCCAAGAGGCTATTTGTACGTCCTGGCACATTACACGTGCCTACCGAGTTTCGTACATATCGGTGAAACGTGGCACCGGGGCTGCTGTTTTTTTATCCTGTAGGGGGCGCTACAAACAGGATTTTTGGTATGTGAGCTTCAGGCACCACTCTACACGTGCCCTGTGAATTTCATATTCCGCACAGTGATTTGTCATGCCAAAAGAGCGCCACCTAGTGACGTATTTTTTGTCCTTTTTAGGTGAGCCTCAGGGAGCCATGGGGAATCATCGTACCAAGTTTCATCTTAATCACACATACCTTTGTAGAGATATAAACTTCTTCATTTTAAAGAGCGCCACCTTGTGGCAATGGCCTGAAATTATGCACGGTGCCTAAGGAAGACATGTGGAACTATGGACCCAAGTTTGGTGTCAATCGGACATACCAATGTGGAGAAATGGTCCACTTCCTTTTTTGACGAAAAATGTACAGGAAGTGTTAATTTTATAACGTGCTTGTTTTTTAAAATTTCAAAAATGTTTGAATTACTTTTTTTGCCGGGGCGGTCCCCAGGTGCTAGGTGAAAAATTTCGTATGAATCGGACAAAGCGTGTAGGAGGACCACAAAAAAGTAGTTTAAGGACATTTCGCGCTCTAACGAAAAAAAAATTATAGGCAGAAGTGGGCGGGGCCTATATGGGGAGATTCAGCTTCACCGAACGCGTGGATACAAGGTTTCTGAATGTGCGACAAACTATGCAGAAGTTATTAGCCTAAACGCACTTTTTATGATAATAGCGCCACCTAATGGCCGACCTGAAAGTGACGCATAGAATATAAAATTTTTCACCAGGCCTGACCACTTTGCCAAATAAAATTGAGTTTTCGTATATGTTCAGGGGGGCAAAAACGCAGTCGAAGTGGCCTAAAAATAATAATAGGTAAGAAATCGAGCAAAAACAACAATTGTTTTTGCTCTATTTCTTACCTATTATTATTTTCGGTCGCTGGCTCGGTCCCTAATAAATGTATTAATATGTTTTTATGTTTTTTTTTTTCTTTGTCTGTAGATGTTTAACACATTATCATTATATAGAGTATATATGTCAATTCATGAACATACCCTAACAAAGATGTTTTTGTGCCTAAACCTAACCAGACTTGAACCACAGTGGTGTAATACAAAAATACTGTTTTTGATTCTCAACTGTTAACTCAACTATTAAGCTGTTGAAATGTTACAAATTCTTTATAAACTGTATTTATAATCTATAGGTGGACTATCCAAATAAAATGTTACCAAACCTAATAAGTCTGATTTTATATTGCACAACAATGTTAAATTCAATTTTATTTGTATAGCGCCAATTCATAACAGAAGTTATCTCAGGACACTTTTCAAATAGAGCAGGTCTAGACCGAACTCTTTAAAACATTAATTACAGAGACCCAACAGTACCACCATGAGCAAGACCTTGGCGACAAGGGCAAGGAAAAACTGCCTGTTAAAAGGCAGAAACCTAGGACAGATCCTTCGGCTCTAGGTGGGTGGTCGTCTGTCTCGACCAGTTGGGGTGAGAGAGAGAGAGAGCGAGAGACAGACAGACAGGTGCACAGCAACAACAGTATTGACAATGGCAATCTAGCAGGACCATGGCAGGAGGCTCCACCAGGATCGCTAAGAACCTGCGAGACGAGAAAGCACAAGAACTCCGGGGAAGAAGTGAAGTTCGTAACATGCGTTAATGGAACATGAATGAGTGCAGA